ACAGAATTAAAGTAAAGAGGATTAAAGTAGCCACACTAGAGTACCAGGAGTCTCAAAGAGTCCAGATTGAACATCTGGAGGGAGGGGAAACTCCATTGAAGGCCAGGGTGGGAGTGGGATTAGCAGATAACCAACCTGTTAGACATGCCAGGACTGTGGGGGTCAAGACAAGCTGCAGAGATGCAATGTAGGACCATGGAGATCAAAAAGGTGAAGGGAAGGTCAGATCTAGGGAGCCAAATGAACAGACAGGAATCTAGCTGTCTGTGCAGGACTTGGCCAGCTAAGTCCCTGGGACAGTAGGGAGTCACAGACCAGGTGGTCAGGTGACAGGTGGGTGGGGCATTCATGAAGCACTGGATGAGTTCTTTTCTTTTCTTTTTTTTTTTTTTTTTTTTTTTTTTTGTTTGCTTGCTTGCTTACCTTTCTTTTTTTCTTCTTCATTTGAGACATGGATTCTCTATTTAGACCTGGCTGTTAGCAACTCTAGCCTTGAACTCAGAGATCTGCCTGCCTCTACCTCCTGGGAGCAGGTTTGTTAGATGTCCTCTTAATGGATCCAGGTAAGGTTGCTATATTCTCACCTTAGCCTGTTGTACCAGTAAGTTCTTGAACCTGTTTTCATTCTTTTTTGGTGTGTATGTATGTAAGATGTGTGTGTATCTGTAAATAGTCATATTCATGTGTGTGAGTACAGGTGTGTGCCTGCCATAGCAAATTCATCAAGGTCAGAGAACTTCCCTTCTGGTATGAGTCCTCATCTCCAACTGCTTGAGACAGTCTCTCATTTGCTGCTGTATTTCCCAGGCTAGCAGGCCTGGGAATCCACACCTTGCCTCCCATCTTACCCTAGAAACACCAGGATAATGCACAGATACTCCCATGTCTGGCTTTATGTGGGTTCTAGAGATCCAAACTCAGTTCCTCACATTCACACACCAAACACTTTAACCAATGAGCTACCTCTGCAGTCCCCGATATGCTCTGACTATGGTCATATGGCCCTGCAGTTCCAGTTTCATTGATAAATTTGGAGGGTGGCACTTTTGCTGGGTTTAGGAATCAGTCATTCATCAGCAGGTGCCTCGTGGTGATGCTGGACTGGAAAGATATTGCTCATGAGTTCCCCAAGATGCAGAACTCACTTGCTTCTGTATCTGACTCAAAATGGGGTCTCTCAGGGCAAGGAGTAGCATGAATAAAATCTCTGTTTTGCATGACATGGAGTAATTTAGGGCAGGGCATAGCCCCCTCTTAAGACCAGTGGAATTCACTTAAGACCAAGGAATTCACACTAAACCCAGAGCTAGTGGTATAAAAGCTTTTCAATTGATGTTTGGTGCTTCATGTTACTTACTAATGCATGGATATATTTCTGTATGAATCATTAACTTTACAATGCCATGGCTTATTCATATTAGTGGAAAACACACACGAAATGTAATTTCTCCAATGCCATGCACGAAGCTATTTAATATCCTGGCATTATCTAGCTCATATAACACTCATATGGCCCTTTTAATACAAGCATCCTTATCTTAATTTTACACATGGAAAAACTGAGGTTCAAAGGTTAAGGGACTTGTTACATTTCACTTGGCAAGTAAGTTGTTCAGCCAGTTTGTCGTGGAGGATGATGAGCCCAAGAGCCATTTTGGATAATCTGAACATTTGAATGCTGGGATCACAGGAATGTACCACTGGGCCCAGTCTATTCAATTTGGCCTTAATGCATGTAAACAGTTTGGCAACTAAGCTGTATTTCTAGCCAGGGTTTTGGAGATTTGTGTGTGTGTGTGTGTGTGTGTGTGTGTGTGTGTGTGTGTGTGTGTGAAGAATGGTTTCCTGTAGCCCAGGCTAGCCTCATACCCTAACTTAGCATGTAGCCTATGCTGTCCTTGAACTCCTGATCCTTCTGCCTATACCTCTCTGGCACTGGGATCACAGGCACATGCCACCACTCCCAGGTTCTCTTTTGGAGTTTGAACTAGGGATGCCTTTGGGGAAATGGGAAGAATGTCTGGTGGCATTGTTCAGGATTACTGAGGCAGGAAAGAATGGTATCGATGGGTAGAAGGCTCATGGTCTAGGTGCTGGAGATGGGAGTAGCCTAAGTCTTCTTTCTGGCATGCTTCTGTTGATAGAGGATCGATCCTCCAGCAAGTTCCAAGCACATTTGCCACAAATCTCTGTAAGTCCTCCTTAAAACAGGCTGATAAACTTGAGAATTAAAAACCTCCACATTCCATCCTGCCTGATGCTTTTGAATTTTAATGCATGCCAGGCTGGGATTTATATATGAAGGCCCTAGATACCATCCTGGATCCAGATGAGAACTCAGCTATACTAATTATCATCTTAATAGTCTTCTCAGAGTACAATGAAGCTGGGCTGTTTTTAAATGTTTTTAAAATCAGATTATACTGAGATAAACCCATCATTTCTGCATCTTTCTGTACATGTTGTTTAAGAAAATGATTTGGGTATAGCTGTTGCCATAGTGGCTAATGACATTACAATCAACTAAGAATATTACTTTCAAAACAAATGAAATGGTTTAAACCTATCTCGCCAAGAAATATTGTGAAGACATACTTATGAAACATGAACTGCACTGTCACCAAATTAATTTGTTTTCTATGCTCAAATTTAATTTAAAAAGAGATATTTCTCTAACTGCTTCCAACAGCAGATTGTAAAGGGACTTCTAATAGAGAACACCGGAAATAAATATAGTAGTGTTCAAGCAAGCAACCAACACAATAGTTATTCTGTTGCTTGTGATGTTTTTGGAAAGTATTTTTTTAAACAACTTCCTGATGAATATGCTCTCGTTATTGTGAAGCCAGGCTGGTGGCTGGCTCTTATCTGCTTTTTTGTCTCTCTTTCATCACTGTGTCCTATGGATGATTTGATATCTATCCATTACCAAGACCTGCTAGATACCGTCCTGGGTTTCTCCTATATGGGGTTTCTATTCCTGGCTTGCTGAAAGGGACTTTTCCTTAGTATAACCCACAGCGCAGAGCATCTTCCTGAAGAAAGGCTTTCATCTAACCCCTTCTGTTATTAAAGCATCAGGGGTCCCATTGCTGATGGCCCAGCTCGGACACAGGACATGTTTCAGCCAAGATAATGCATTAGCTTTTACAGTCACTAGCCTGCTACTTGGAATCCTTCACCCTTTCTGCCAACTCATGGCCAACACCTCCTTTCCCTTCTGTATTGAATTCTCTTCCTTCAGGATGTTTTCCTTGCTTAGTAGCTACTTAGCAGATAAACAATTCTCGTTTTTGAGATTTTAATCACATTAAGTGCTTAAAAAAAACAAATTGTCCGAGTCTAGAGATAAACAGCTTACAGAGATTTTCATTCTTTAAGAGGGCGACTTTGTCAAGAGATAGAACTCAAATTTGCAAGGGGCTGTGTTTTCCTTAAGACATCAACCCTAGAACCAGAGCAAAATGGCTCTTTATGGTGACCTCTAGCGGGCACGGGGCAGTCCTACAAAATTAAGAAAAGTGGAAAGTAAAACCCTTCCCCAGGTACTCCGTGGTCATAGGACCGCATCCCACCCTTCCAGCCTCCTTATTTATTTATTTATTTGTTTATTTATTTTCTTCCAGTGTTTGTTTTGCATCCTAACATCGTCTCCCTTACACACAACTCACCTGTTTCTTGCCTTTGAAGGGTTGGGCTGCCGGTGTCGGATGTGTGAACTGCTGTTTAAAATAATGTCTGCCAAGTCGAACCTCACTCCCCTTGGCTTTGCACAGTGTAGCTGGCTTCATGAAGCTTTAAGACGATGTCTGCATTTGGAGGGCCGGTGCCGCAGTCGCATGGGGGTGCAACGGGGGAGGGGAACAAGTGGACATCGAGATAGCATGAAAAGGAGAATGCAAGACCGATGGAGGCAATGAGACATTCTGGTTTTGCCAGTGAAACATTCTCTCCAGACTGCCACCCCGCTCCACGGGAGGGAGGCATCCTGAGAGCGGTGTAGGCGACCTCTCAGGTCCCGAGGCTGGAAAAGAGGGGGTAGCCGCGGGGGGGGGGGTCTGCAGGTCCCTGGGATCGCGCGCGGAGCGGATGGCGGGTGGAGGGGGGTAGGGCTGGGTGCGCGGCCGCCTTCGGAGCGCACCGCACGTGGGGCGCCCCACGCGCGGAGAGGAAGCTCAAAGTCGGCAGGCAAAGCCGAGACTAGGTTGCTTGCTTTGAGAAATCCTCTAGGGCAGCCTTAGAAGCCGACCCGGGTTCCGAACAGTCCCTGGCAATGGCTCATCCAGACGCCGCCGTCTGCTTCCTACTTCAAACCCCGCACCTTGGTCCTCACCTCTGCACCCCTCTTTCCCGCCCCTCCCTTCGGGGACGGTTTAAAGGAGCCTGGGGGGAGGTGCGCGGGTCATCCCGATGGCCCCGGGGCTCCCCGCAGCTAGCATCACGCCCCGCGCAGCCCTCCCGGCCACTGCGGGCGGGGGCGCACGGCGTCACGAGGCGGGGAGCCCGAGGTCCGGGGCGGGGCGCCGGGGAATCCCAGCCCGAGCGAGCCGGGAGGTGCGGGCGGGCGCGGGCGGGCGGGCAGGAGGTGCGCGCAGAGGGAGCGGAGCGCGCGGAGCCGGCGGGCGAGGAGGAGGACGGCGAGGGAGGACGGCGAGGGAGGCCCCGCCCCCGCCTCTCGGAGCCCGCTCCTCGCCGCCGCCAAGCCCGCTCACTTTGCCTCTCGCCTCTGGACGGCTGCCGGGCTGCGTGCGCCGGGAACCGGGGAGCCCTGCTCACGGCGCCTCGGCTAATGCGCGCCCTCCGGGAGGCCGGCACCGCCTGGATCCGTGGACACCCACTAGGACTCCCGAAGAGCGAACCCGGGAGCGCGGGGCGGAGGCACTGACTCCGCGGGAGGTGGGGAAGCCAGGCGGCGCGGGGTGTGAGCCCCGGGGGAGCGCGGGCCCCGACGGCGCGGCCACCCGGTGCGCTCGGTGGCCAAGCCCCCGGGGCGGCCAGCCATGACCTTCGGGCGCGGCGGGGCGGCCTCGGTGGTGCTGAACGTGGGCGGCGCCCGGTACTCGCTGTCCCGGGAGCTGCTCAAGGACTTCCCGCTGCGCCGTGTGAGCCGACTGCACGGCTGCCGCTCGGAGCGCGACGTGCTCGAGGTGTGCGACGACTACGACCGGGAGCGCAACGAGTACTTCTTCGACCGGCACTCAGAGGCCTTTGGCTTCATCCTGCTGTACGTGCGCGGCCACGGGAAGCTGCGCTTCGCGCCGCGGATGTGCGAGCTCTCCTTCTACAACGAGATGATCTACTGGGGCCTGGAGGGCGCGCACCTGGAGTACTGCTGCCAGCGCCGCCTAGACGACCGCATGTCCGACACCCACACCTTCCACGCGGCCGACGAGCTGGGCCGGGAGCAGGCTCGCCCCGCCGGGCCCGAGGCGGCTCCCTCCCCGCGCTGGCTGGAGCGCATGAGGCGGACCTTCGAGGAGCCCACGTCGTCGCTGGCCGCGCAAATCCTGGCCAGCGTGTCCGTGGTGTTCGTGATCGTGTCCATGGTGGTGCTGTGCGCCAGCACGCTGCCCGACTGGCGCGCAGCAGCCGCCAACAACCACAGCCTGGATGACCGGAGCAGGTACTCCGCCGGCCCTGGGAGGGAGCCCTCCGGGTAGGACGCACTGCTTCTCTGCCCGTCCAGTCCGTCACGTCCCGTCCGTTCGTCCTTCCGTGCAGTCCGTCCAGTCTCCGTCCTGTCTGCCTGGTGGCCCTGCCAGGCTTGTTCCTGCCTCGGGAGGCCCCTGGCGCTCCAACTCAGGGATGTGTGGGTCCCCAACCCCGCCCCTTTCCCAGGCACAGTCAGCCGGTGTGCTTGAACCTCACCTTTTTAGGGTTACCCCCCTCCCCCACACACACCCAGGCCTTGTAGTTTAATTCTAGGCAAATAGCAATCCTCTAACGAGGTTTCTCTAAACTTTTATTGCTAATATACAATAATTTACACGACGATTCGATCAGAGCTAAGAGCACTTTGAAATATGTGCCAGTATGGGTGGCGTTTGGAAAGATGATGTCTTGTTCAGTAGAAAAGTGGTCCTGCTGCGCTGCCCACACGCTCTGCACACCCTGCCCCTGGCATAGTGTGTGCTGGAATGGAATTGCCGTGTTATAAAGGAGGCTGATTTAGCGTTAGACTCTGAATAATGGATGCCTGTGCCCTTTTCTTCTCTCCTTTCCGACCAAGTATGGACGGGCCCAGCAAATTCCTGTCCACTGTGTGGCATTAAAGATTCACGGTTTCATTCAGAGGGTCTTCAGAGTGGGGAAGAAAATAGCTTGGGAGAGCAGAAAAAGCGAAAGTTCCCTATACCCAGAAACATCGTCCACCTCCCCCATTCCCGCGCCGCCCCCTCCCCCCCAAGTAGGATGAAGGGAAACAAATCTTTCCTGGGTTCATACTTACCTCTTAATGGTGATAACACTTTTCCGTTTTTAGAAGAAGTGAGTTTATTTTGCATATTTGGTGGGAGGAATAAGCAGACTAAAGTTGGACTTTCAGAGGAGACAGCCATTTTGGGCATAAAACCCAAACTGCTAATCTCTTTTACCCCTTCCTTGTTCGAGAGCTCTTTGACGAATTACCCCTCTCCAGCCACTTTCTTGTTTTAATTTTTTTCTCTCTCTCCATTCACTCTCAAGTCAAGGTGACACTCTATAGTCTTTTCCTGATGGGACTGGGTATGCTAGGAGTCATTCGTGCTTGTTGACGCAACAGTGGATTGCTTCCACAGTATTCCTGGAGGGAGTAAAGGGTTCTGTATACATCTCAGGCACAAACACAGTGGACTACTGGCAGAGTCCATTACCAGTATGCCACCTTGGCGTGAAGGTGGCATGAAATCCAGGATCTGTGCTTGGAAAAGAAGTAAATTAGGAAACTCATGATAATGTGTTGTGTGTGTTCAGTTCATTTCACAGATAGGAATTACTTCCTTGGTGCCCAACAATACAATGAAATTAACTTCTATATGTAAATAAGCGACTTGAGTGGGTGCTGGGGCAAGAGTCATAGAAAAAAGAGCCACGAGTTGAGTGGCTTTGAAATGACTCGTCGGTGGATGTAGGATGTGAAGGTTAGTGATGGAAAGGAAACAGGAGGGTTGTCAGATAGTGCAGATTTTGAGGGAGTTGACTACACTAAGAAAAGCAGGCAAGACCAGGGAACTAAGTGAGTGATTACTTTGTTTCTTTTGAAGGAGAAGGGAGTTTGGGAAGAAAGATCATTCATGTAAAGTATGAGGATGAGTGCTAATTTTAGATAAAAAAGAAACCAGAAAGAGAAGAGGCAGAGATGAGAGAGACACAGAGAGACAGAGGGGAGGTGGAGGGACACGACAAAGGGAGGGAAGGAGATAGAGTAAGGCTTAATTTGTGTATACGTATCTTAAGTATATATGTAATTATTCAAGTCAAACTGTTTCCTAGATACATAGATATTTCAGGCAAGTGCATGTTTTTCTTGGCTTAATGGCCCAGTTTTAAGCTTCCCTCTCTTGAGTGTAGGTATAAGAAAGCCAGTGTCTGTAATCCCAGATACACTGGGGGATGGCCGAATGAGGGTGTTGTACATTGCACAGTCAGCCCCCTCAGCTGGAATTTTAATTTCTCAGTCCTTGCCAGCTTGTGGCAGCTAAAATGAGTCTACATCCTTCTGATCCTCTACCATAAAGCCAAAGTCCCCTCCTCTTAGAGACTTGACATTCACCGAAACCCGCTAGGCAAGTGTCCAGACACTTAATTATTTATGTCTGAGCCAAGCAACTCACCAATCCTGTTTCATCTCATCATAATTTGTGTCCTTTTTGAGTGTTCACTTGTTCTGCTCACTGCAGCTGTTCCAAACACTAACTTTCTTGTATAGAAAAGTTGATGTAGGACTCAGCCGCACAATGGGTTTCCAAGAGTCGAGTTATTCCGAGAAAGCCTTCAAGGTCACAGAGGGTGGAAACAAGGCATCCTTGAAAGGTTGTGCAGTGTCCAACACTGGCGGGAGGGGGGGTGTCACTTACATAAACTGGTTTATGCAACCTGCACCATTCTGTGTCTTGCTTAAGAAAAAAATAGGAGGGTTTTCCAGCAAAAGGAACAGCATGGGCGTAAGCATGAAACTTGTATGTTATGTTTGGGGAGTAAGATTCCAGTGCAAGAGTGTGAGATGGTTGAGAGAGCCTATAGGAATGAACTGAGGGACTCGGTCTTGCAGCTGTGGCTAGCTCTCGGCTGCTTTGTATCATCTGTGCTGATACCTTATCCATAGAAAATAGAGAATGTGTTCAGCATGTTCTATGATCCGAGAGGGAAGAGATTGGACACAGGAACAATGACTGGGCATGGGGTCAGCACACAGCGGCCATCCCTCCACTCAATGTTCAGTGCAGAAGGGTCAGGAGTTGGAGCCTGTACTCCAACGAAATGAGCTGCATCACAGTGAGACCCAGTCCCTAAAAAGGAGCAGGAGCTGGGATTGTTAGCTGAGTACTAAGTCACTTGTGTAAAAGCCCCTGTGTTGGAGTCCTAAATCTGTAAAAACAAAAAATAAAAGAGAGTTCGGAAGACTTTGTGTGGGGTCTGAGAGCTGGCATTGCTTTGGGCTTGTGAGAATAGAGACTAAACAACAACTCTGGTCTGTACTAGAAGAATTGAGATGCCTCCAGAGCTCTGGAAAGATGGAAGCTGTAGGGCTTGACCAGGCGATCTTCCAGGAGCTGGGAACTCTCAGTACCACTTCCAGGATCCTTCTGTCCAGCCTGCTTTGCTCATTTGTCCCCAAGTCACCTCTGTGGCCCTCACAGTACAGTTCCCAACCTAATGAAACGATCATTCAAGCCCAACTCAGGTTCTATGTGGAGCTTTATGACTGTTTCCTTCCAACCTTGAGGGGTTGCTGGCTTGTACTGTTTATATGTCATTTGTCATGGCCTTCCTAGATGCCATTTCCTCATAAACACATCGTGGTTCTTATGGTAGATTTGATGCAAAGCCCTTGGAGGCAGGTAAACCCATTCATAGCCCCCTACGCCGCCATTTTTGAGTCAGTCCTTATGTGGCTCAAACTGACAATTTTCCTGCCTCAGCCCCTTTAGTACTGGGATTTCAGGTATGTCTTCCTTTGGGGGCTCTGAGGGGCAGGTGTTGAGATAAGCCTCTCATATGGCCCAGGGTGGCTTGAGATATTCCATCCTCCTGGTTAACTTTACCTCCCACATGCTGGTATTACAGGTGTATACTGTCATACCAGGCTGGGCGTGGGGAGGGCGTGGGGGTTGAGGGGTGGTGGTGAATGTTCAGAGGTGTGTGTATGTGTGCCTGCAGGCACATGTAGAGATCAAGAGTTGATGTCATATGCCTCCTTCAGTCACTTTCCGCCTTATTTATTTGGTTTTTCGAGACAGGGTTTCTCAGTGTAGCTTTGTAGACCAGGTTGGCCTTGAACTCACAGATATCTTCCTGCCTTTGCCTCCCAAGAGCTGGGATTAAAGATGTGTGCCTCCACCTCTTTGCCAGTTTCCACCTTTTGTTTGAGACACTGTCTGTCTCTGAACCTAGAGCTGATGGGTTCTGACAGCTCAGTGACTGGCCAGCAAGCAGCAGGGTTTACACACCTGGGTTGCTGTATCCTGCTTTTATGTGGGTGTTTGAGATCTGAATTCAGGAGCTTGTGGTTTTCTGGCAGCTATCTTACTAAGGGTCATCTCTTCAGATTGGCATACATCTTTTGTTACAGTTTGTCTTAGTTAGATTTTCTGTTGCTGTGACGAGACACCATGACCATGGCAACATGGTCTTACAACATTTAATTAGGGTGACTTAACATCTTCAGAGGTATGGTCCATTATCATGGTGCGTGCAGGCAGACATGGTGCTGGAGCTGAGAGTCCTACATCTTAATATGCAGGCTACAGGAAGTGGCCTGAGACACTGGGTGTAGCTTGAGCATATATGAGACCTCAAAGTACTCTTCCACAGTGACATATGACCTCCAACAGGGACATACCCATACCAACAAAGCTATATCTCCTAATAGCTCTCTTTGGGAGCCATTTCCTTTCAAACCACCACACAGTTTAAAGAGCTGTTAGGGTTAAAGCTGTGGACTAGTTCTTTATGCACTGAAACAAGTTGTTTTTAAGACCCTCATTAAAAGACAACCACCACTGCCTAATGTTCTCACAGAACACTGCCTAGTGTTCCAGCAGATTTTTGCTGTCTATTGAGGAAAAATAGATGATATTTAAAAAATTACCATGAGGCTGAGTGTGGACCAGCCTGGGCTACATAGTGAAATCTGGTCTGGAGGAGGGGTGGGGGATGGATTCTGACCGTTCATCACCTGGTAAGTTTCTGTGGGTGCACAAGCTCAGATGGGGTTCCTATTCTTCTGGAGCTTTCTAACTTGATGATAGTGAGGAGACAGGAAACACATTAAACAGATGCATACGAATTTCAAGATTGCAAAAGATGACACTGATCCTGGATATGAGAGAGAAAGAGAGCTATGGGAAACTGGAGGGAAGGGTATTCTGGACAGGAAGAACTGTAAATGCAAAGGCTTTGAGTAGGCAACAGGGCCAGCTTATCTACAGAATGGCAGGACTGGCCACCTGGGCTAGA